AAAAAAAAAAAAAAAAAAAAAAAAAAAAAAAGATGGATTAATTTGTTTTAAATCGTTAAGTAGAGACAGGGTCTTCCTGTGTTACACCGGCTAGTCTCAAACTTCTGGATTCAAGTGATCCTCCCGCCTTGGCCTCCCAAAGTGCTGGGATTGCAGGCAGGAGCCGCTGCGCCCAGACTCACAACTGCTCTCCTCGATTCTGGGGGAGGAGGGACTTCTAATGACCTCCACCCCACAGTGTCTATTTTCCGAGATACCCTGCCCTGGCAAGAAAGCCACTGGACCGGATTCTTACACAGCATGGGCTCTGGCCACAGCAGGCACTGGCTCCTTCCAGGAGACGCCCAGTGAGTGCGGAAGGCAGCGGTGCCAGGCCCGGCCCCTCGGGGACTGACCTTCTGTGCCCTCGGCCTCCCGGCCGTGTGGCAGTGACTGCGGCTCCTCCTCCTCCTCCTCAGGGTCGGCCTCTGGCCCGGCCTCCTCCTTCACGCCGCCCCCGGCCTCCTCCAGGAGCACCCCAGCCGCACCCTCCCCTGGGGACTTGGGGTCTTCGGGCTTGGGCTTCTTGGGCTGACTCCGTTTCCGGTGAGACCTGGAGAGGGAGGTTTATCAGGCAGGACGGGAGACCAGGGAGGGAAGGGCCCCTGGTCTGTGCACTCCGTCTGGCAGCACGCAGCCCCCGCCCACCCCAGAAGAGTGCCCAGCAGCAGGGAGCCTCCCAGCTGCAGGCCGGGGGCGAGGGGAACCCTCGGTGGGGTTCTGCTCTCGGGGGGCAGGAGCCGTGTAGGAGGAGAGGCCGAAGGGAGACGGGGCAATGGATGCGGTGGGGATGGTGTCAAGCGGGGGACGCTGATGACAGCTGGAGATGGGAAGCCGACTGACACCAGGTGGGATGACGGGCGGGACGGGGCGGCAGGAGCCGCATGTGCCATGGGACACAGACACGGAGTGTGAGCTCCGCAGGAAACAGCGCTCATGGAAAATGCCTAGACGACAAACGGAACGGGAAGGACACTTACGACAGCCCCGGCCTTTTGGTCTCTTTCTTCCTTTCTAGACTTGGTTTCCTCTCCTCCTCAGTCTTTCTCCAGTGTCTGCTTTCTTTCAGACTAATTTGTCTAGAATGTAAATTTCAGGGGGTTTTTCTCTAGAACTTCTGCTCAACTCCCCAGGACGCCTTGTCCTGGGCACCTGGCTCTGTCCCCGACTCCCTGGGTCCTCTCTCTGCAGCCCTTGAGACGCATGGGAGCCTCCAGCTCACACTCCACTGCTCTGACCTGTGCCCACGCCCCAGGGCCTGCCAGTGCCTCCTCTGTGCCCCGAGCCCAGGATCTGCTCCCAGGGCAGGTGGGGGCCAAGAGGATGGTGCATTCTGCATGCCCAGCCTGGGCACCATGATCCCGGGGGATAGCGGGGAGGCCCCAGTCCCTGGACAACAGCCCCAAGTGAGAGATCGAGTCTGAGACATACAGGTGTGGCTGAGCTGGGACTTCTTAGAAACGAGAACAAGAGGGGCTGAGAAAGGAAGAAGTGAGGCAGCCCGTGAACCGGCAGCTGAGCGGCCAGGGCCTCGCACCGGCTCCCCCGGGACCTCCAGGGCCCTTCCAGCAAGGAAGCAAAAGCTTTTTGCAGATGGGAAGGGGGTGGCTCTCAGGCAGAAGCAGGGACTGCAGAGAAGCCGAGGCCTGGTGGGTCGCTAGTGCCTCCCGAGGGCAAGTGATGTTGCATCTCCTCCAGGCCCACCCCTGGGCTGCCCCGCGCCCTGGCCTGACCAGGGCCCTGCCTAGGCCATGAGCTCGAGGCCACACAGCCCAGCTCCCCAGCCGCCTTTCTCCCCTTCCCCACTTGAGATCCAGCCACGACAAGCCCGCCAGCCGCCAAGCACAGCTGGGAGTGCCAGCGCTTCCCGGACAATTGCCAATGCCAGCTGTGGCTTCCAGGCCCTTACTGTGTCTACTGTCCCCGTGAGTTCAGACTTGGACACCTCAATCCCACAGGGGTCCCTGTGGCAGCTGCCCTTCCAAGAACCAAGTGGTCAGCAAGGTGGGGCAGGCTCATCTGATGGGGTGGGGTGGGCCTGCCAGCGGGGCTTCCATCACCAGGACCAGCTTGTCGCTGCCTGGGCCAAGCTGTCACATGGGCCAGCAGCAGCCCACGCTCCCCCAGGACACTTGGACCTGACCCCTGCCCACCGCTGCTCCCAGCCACTCTGCCCGCCCTGTGCTCCATGCTGGCTTCTGGGGCGTCTCCTCCAGGAAGCCTTCCTACAACAGTAGTCACTGCCAGCCCTCCTTGCTCCTCAACTGCCTGACTTGCTAGAATCAGTGCTCCCCGATGTCTGCAGCATGGCCCACCACGATGACTCAAGGCAGAAAGCGGGTGGACTGGAGGCATGGCATCACACAGCATGGTGCACACGAAGTCGCTGCGGGGTGGCTGGGCGGAGGCGGGAGGCAGGCAGGGGCGGGCGTGGGGCCAGAGTCACTAACACAGGGAGCAGGAGGTGGGTGGGGGATATGGGGGCTGCCCCTGCCCTCCAGGAAACATTGTCCACCACAGCAGCCAGAGAACGGCTCTGGGCAGGCAGCCTCAGCCTCCACTTGGGGGCTGGGGAAATGCTGGGTGCCTGCTGCACATGGAGACAGCGGGCTCAGGAGTAGGGAGCTTTGAGGTGGCGCTGGGGTGCAACTGGCTCTTGTCACCACTGTCCTCCCGAGGCGGGTTGCCCTCCTGGTCTGGGAATGCCCCAGGGCTGCAGGGCGGGGATGCCACAGTGGGGCTGACCTGGTCCCAGACAGCACCAGCAGAAGGGCACCCTCCACTCCACTCACCTGGCTCCGCAGCCCCTTCTCCCACCCACTGCAGTCCCTCCCTCCACCCCTACCCTGAAAATCCTCCGGAGAGGTCGCTTTTGACCACGGCCCTCCCCTCCTACAGCCCACCAGGGGCACCCCCACGGCCCTCAAGCCTTACTGTGCCGGCCCCAGAGGGCCCCCGGCCTGTCCTGGTGCCCAACGCCTACTGGGCTCAGGGCTCTGGGACCTCATCCCTGCAGCCCAGCCCTTCCCTACCCACAGCAGTGCCAGGCTGAGACCCCCAGGCTCCACACTACACGGAACTAGGTAGATCTTAACGCACAGCAGCAGCAAGGGGAGCAGGGCCCACAGCAGAGGGGCGTCCACCACTTGGGCAATCTCCAGGGTCCTAAGAGCACTCCTCTTCCCGACCCTGACGCCTTCATCCCCCTTCATGTCTCTGCAGCCGATGATGCTTGTTTCTGGATCTGGCTCCCAGCACGGGCACTGAGGCTACGACCATCCTCACCAGCTCCACGACCTCCCCTTCTCTGTCTGCACCTGACACCATCTTCCAATGCAGCCAAATTCCACATTTACGCTTTTATGCCCCATAAACACTGCATTCATGAGCTGCAGAGCAACTTGGACTGCATTCCCCGCCTGCCCCTCCCGGGGTCTGGAACTCGCCTCCTGCTTTGGATGCTTAGCTTCCTTGGTATCTCTGAGCTCCCTGCCATCGCTCTTAAACTCCTGCTGTGGCCTCCTATGCAGGGTGCCCCCCAGTCCCCAGTGACACCCCTGGGGGTCTTGGTTCCTTCTCCCATGATCTTGAGACTCTCCTTGACTCTCCTGGGTTAGCTCTTGTTTCCTCAGTCCCATGGCTTTCTTGGTTTACATCCTCGTTTATCTGGAGCACATCCTGCAGCAGCTTCCTGAAAAAGGACGTGGAATCCCAGACTCTGCATGTCTAAAATGATCCTTATTGTCCTCACACATTTCTTGGCAATTTGGCTAGGTAAAGGATTTGGGGAGAATTACTCCTCTTTTGACTTTTGAAGGCCTTGTTCCTTTGTCTTTTAGCTTGAGGCATTATGACTGTAAATCCAGTGCTAATAGGGTCTCCTGTTCTTTTTAATTTTTTTTTTTTTTTTTTGACAGGGACAGGGTTTTGCTATGTTGGCCAGGCTGACCTCAAACTCCTGGCCTCAAGTGATCTTCCTGCCTTGGCCTCCCACAGTGCTGGGATCATGGCACCTTGCCCAGCCCCGGTCTGGTGATCTGTTTATGTGATCTGTTTGCTCCAGAAGCTCTCAGGGTCTTTGTTTCATCCAGGAGGTGTGAAATTTCACAGGGATGCATTGTGTTTTGGGTAATTTCCATCCTTGGGGAGACTTCTCAACCTGGAAATGCAGTCTTTGGGTCCTGGGACACTTTCCTCTTTTTCTGAAACGCCTGTGAGGGGCTGGATTTCCTGGGCTTCCTGATCCTTCCTAGCTTCCAGCTCTTTCTGTCTGTGCTGTGGGAGGGGCTTCCTCGAGCACCCCCCAGTCCACCGCGGGGCTTCTCTTCTTTGGATGGTAACAGCCGAGAGCCACTTGTCCCGGGAACGTTTCTTCTTCACAGCAACGGCAGAGTCCCGGCACCGCTCCAGGGCCCTGGGTTCACTGCATTCTTTCTGCAGAGCCCTGCCTTTGTCACGAAGTGCAGCCTCCAATGTGTGGGGCCCCCTGGGCTTTTGTCCTCCTGTGCGCAGCGCTGGGCCGTGTGTGAGCTCGGCCTGGTGAAGGCAGTGGTGGGGACCGGTGAGGGCAGGAGCCTGTGACTCTGGGGGAGGCCCAGGAGCAGCATCTGTGGCTTCACTCCACTGGGCCCCTTTGTTCTCTGGGAGAGGACCCTGGCTCCTTCGTCTCTTCTGGCCTTGGGGGTGGGTGGGACTGTCAGCCAGGCCCCACTGCCCATCCCAGGAGGGCGCCTCCCTCTGCCCAGAGCCCCCCACACCCCCGAGCCCCCAGGGAGCTGCCCACGTCTGCCCGCGTGTCTTTCTGCAGCCCCGTGGTGCGGCCCAGCCGCTTCTTGCTGGGTGTCCTCCCGGCTGCCGGCCTATGGCATCTCCTGCCCGCCCTTCCCTTCTTTTCAAAGGCTGCAGACGTGCTCAGCTGCCACTGGCCCCTCTCCCGCGCTCTGTACTTCACTCCCTGGTGTTTCAGGAGAGAGTGGAGATAAACAGGCACTTAGCCTGCCAGGCTTAACTGGACACCCCAGGCCCATTCCTGCGAGCCAAATGTCGGCGGTAGTCCAGATAACTGCACAAGGGGGAGCAGGTGTCCTCCGCAGCTCGCATGGTAGGAGGCGGGGTGAGCGGCCTCTGGCGCCGTCACCAGGTAACACTGGGCACCTGCAGCACCCAGGGTGGGACCAGCAGCTCTCCGTACTGCGCTGGCTCAGGGCTCCTCACAGGGCAGGGAGGAGGGGGGCTGCCCCAGCCTTGGCCCCAGGCTTAGAGGCAGCTGTGAGGGCAGCCCCAGACTGAGCCCTCAGACCCAGCCCTCCACCCCCGCCCACTGACCCAGTGCTCCCCGCCCAAAGACTAGACCCTGCGCTAAGAAATTGCACCTTTGGGAAACTGAAGGGCTGATCTGGGAAAGAGACAGGAGACAGCGAGTGAGTCCCTGAGGCTGCAGGTGCCCTGCAGGAGCCAGTGGGCCCCTGTGCTCATGAGGTTCCGTCCCCAAGGGCTGAGGTCCCTGTTGGCAGGGAGGGCTCAGGAATGCAGCCCGGGTGGGGAGTCGGGGCCAGGGGCGTGGTGGTGTCCTGCACTGGCTCGGGGCGGGGGGGGCACAGGCCAAGGAAGAGCCATGCCAGGCAGTACGGAGCTAGGAGGAGTGGGGGAGACAGCGCCTGGGCCCGGCAGGCTCACAGGGCAGCAGTGGGCAGGGAGGCTGTGGGAGGCAGGTGCACAAATGACCTGCTGGGAGCTCACACCTGCTGGAGCACGTGTACGTGGTGCTTATCGTGTGGAAAGACCCTGTATGGACAAGCGTGGCGTGGATGCCAGAGAGCACTGAGAGGGCTCCAGCCCAGGCAGGGAGCCAGAACACACGGCGCTACCAGGAGAGGGAAGGCTGTGGGCGCCACCAGGAGCCAGTCTGCAGTATTAGGCGACCCATTAATCGGGGAAAAATACAAACAGCCTCTAACGCTCGCCCAACAAGATTTAGTTCCAGAAGAGACCCATGTAAGGCGGCGAGGTGGGAGCAGGCTGTGTCCTCTGAGCTCACACGGCTGCGCCGAACCATCCGCACCCCGTGGGGACCTGGTGAACACATGGGGGCCCTCCCACAGCCATGGCGAGAGCAGGGAATTTTGGACCCCACTGGGGCGAGAGCATGGCACCCACCCTGATGCCATCCCTTGGTCTAGGGCAGGAGTTCCCACCCGGGAACACTGGGTGATGTCTGGGAACATTTGTGGTTGTCACGACTGGGGATGCTCCTGGCATGGAGTGGGTGGAGGCCAGCGAAGCTGCTCAGCACCCTGCAGGGCCCAGGAAGCCCCCCACCGACCCCCACCAGAGAAGGATCCAGCCTGTGTCCACAAGCCCCTCATCCAGGAGACAGAGCCAGTCTACTGCGTCTCCCCACACAGCCAGAGCCACAGATGCTCAGACGGGGCCAGCCTGGCCCCAGGACACGCCCTCAGGGAGGGAGCCTGGCTCAGGGGAGAAGGGGAGCCCTGCAGAGAGGGTCCCTGGGGTGAGGGGCCAGTGCAGAGGCCCTCCTGAGGACCAGCCACCTCCCTGCGGAGGGAGGACAGTAGGCTTGGGCTTTGAAACGTGGGTCACCCATCCTCCTCTCCAGAGAAAAGCACCCCCATGACTTAAAAAAAAAAAAAAGAAAAAGAAAAAAAATCAGCCTTGTTTTACATATTGAAGGCTTTAAAGAAAATTACATCCTTGGGAAGCTGACTTCATTTGTTATTCAGGTTCGCTGCTGGGTGAAGGCAGCCCCCAGGACGGTGGTGGGGGCGGGGACCGGAGGGGGGCTCCCGGCAGGAACAGGTCGTGACGAGGAGCGAGGGGGTGGCCCGGGCAAGGAGGTCAGGCTGTGTAGGGACTGGTTCTGGGGGGTCCGCTTCCTATGTGCAAAGAAGGTTCCTCACAGCAGTGCGCACAGGAGACGCACAGTGGCTTCCGCGTCTCCTCCTGGCAGGCAATTTAGATGGCCTCTAGTCCCATTTCACTCCGGGAACACAGCGCCTGTTTATTGGCAATCCGCTCTGTTGACCAATTAGCCTGAGCCACAATCACTTAACCATTATGCAAACAGCACGTCCAGCCTGGCCTGGGAGCTGGGCTGCACGGCTGTGCGGGGTTGGTGGGGGCACCTGCGGCAGCCTCGGCAGGAAGCAGGAAATCAGAAGGCGGATAACAGGAGCCGGAGAGGCAGCTTCACCTTGGGGGCTGTCGGGAGGGGCAGTGCAAACACTCGGGGCGGAGGGAACATTCCCCGAGAGAGGCCGCAGGGTGGAGAAGACAGAGGAGGCCGAGGCTGAGGCCCAGACTCACGGATAGATGGACATGTGGAAAAAGGCAGCGCCCGGCTAGGAGAGAAGGTTCTGGACCATCAGTGACTTCTCAGAAACCAGTTCCGAGGTCTGTTTCTGCAGAGTGTGGTGGGGGCCGAAGTAGGGGTTCCACCCCAGAAGGCTGAGCCGCCCCCAACCTCGGTGCTCAGTGGCTGGGTTTCGAGTGGGCACCGTCCATGGCCAGCTGGGACAGGATCAGGCCAGCAGTGACTGGACGGCTGCAGAGGGAAGGTCACTGCTCAAAGGGAAGGGGGGGTCGCCCCCACACTGGGGCCACCACAGTTGGCCGAAGACCAGCCCTGCCAGCAGCCCATCTGGGTACAGCCCACAAGCCAGGGACAGTGTTTACGTGGTTTTTTTCCCTGAATACACAAGGTCTTGCTCCGTCCTTCTGGCTGGAGTGCCGTGGTGCAATGCTGGCTTGCGGCAGCCTCAACCTCCTGGGCTTGAGTGATCCTCCCACCTCAGCCTTCTCCTGCCTCAGCCTCCTGAGTAGCTGGGACCACCAGAGGACACCACCACTCCCGGCCAGTTTTTAAATTTTCTGTAGAGATGGGGTCTCACTATGTTGTCCAGGCTGCTTTCAAACCAAACCCCTGGACTCAAGCAATCCTCCTGCCTCGGCCTCCAACGTGCAGAGATTACAAGTGTGAGCTACCAAGCCTGGCCGATGGTCACATTTTTAAGTAGCTCAAAAAAGGAAATTCTCATATTTGGTAGCATGTGAACATTATCAGATCCAGATTTCAGGGTCTATAAATAAAGCTGCATGGACACAGCCACGTACATTTCTTTGCTGTCTGTCATCTGCAGGGATCTTGAGTTGCCATGCGGAGTGGACAAGTGGAGACACAGGAGGTCTGGCCTGCAAAGTCGCCATGTCACAAATGTTTGCTCGCCGGCCCTTCCCAGGAGGAGTCGGCTGAGCCCGCTGTGTGCCGTCCCCCCGCCCCCGGCCCCAGCTCCAGCTCAGGGGGTTCCTGAATGTTCCTTGGGCACCAAGTAGGAGTGAAATCTGTCAAGAATTGTGCCGAGGGCAGCTCAGAGACCTGGATGCCTGGACGCTTCCCAGAGGAGGGGCAGGGAGGCCAGCCTCGCCTTCACCCTGGGCGTGAAGTGGATCTTCTCGGCTGGGACCTGCCTCGGTGTCCCCACGGCCTCTTGCAGCCAGAGGCCAAGAGGCTACAGATGCTCTGCCCTCTCCTCCTGGCAGACACCAGACCGTAGCTGGGAGGCTCTGTGCGGCAGTGGGGACCCGGATGTGCAGGGAGGGGTTCTGAGTAAGAGGAGGGCGTCTAGGTCATGCCGGGTGGCCGGCTTCAGCAATCCTCGCCACGATCTCCAATCCAAGAAGCACCTTTACACCAAAGGAGCAGCCGCAGACACAGAAGGGAAGGGGCCCCGAGGCCCACCTGATGCCCGAGTCCTTGCATGGGATCCGCTCGCTCTCAGCACCGGGGAAGGGCCTAAGTAGCCCAAGAGTAGAAACGTGGTGACAGAGAGGGACTGGGACCCACGTGGCCTGGTGACTCTGCAGAAGCAACGGCGCAGGGCCTGGGGCTGCCGAGGGTCAGCCTCCTGGCAGGGACTTGACAGGAGTGTGGGAGCCCGTGTGTGTGAGCAGCAGGGACACGGCCCACCAGAACAGGGCCTACCCCGACCCACAGCAAGGCGAGGCCTCCAGACGCAAAGAGAAACAGACAGAACAGGAAGAGGGGTATGAACGAGGAGGTGGGACGGGAACAGGAAGCGAGGAGTGGGACACGCCTGGAGCTCCTGCCGGTGGGAAGGGCCAGGGCCACCCACCATCACGCCGGGCCAGTCACGAGGCAGCCCCTTGGGAACTCACCTGCGGAGGAGCTTGGCCTTGAGCGAGGCCCGGGACGCACTCCAGGAGCTCAGTTCGGGGCTGGTGAGCGCGGTGGGCCGCGTGTGGTCCAGCACCGTGAGGTCCTTGCCCTGCTTCCACAGCTCGTAGCGCTCAGGCTGGAGGATGCGCACGAACACGTCCATGGAGATCTTCACCATGTCCTTCCGGCACGTGCACTGTGGCAGAGACAGGCGCCTGAGCCCCCACGCCGCACCCCAGAGCAAGCGGGGCCGCGTGTGGTCCAACACCATGAGGTCAAGTGATGGCACCCTCCCACGCCCCATCCCACAGCTGCGCTTTCCGTTTCTAGAACATTTTTCTTTTTGAGACAGGGTCTCACTCTGCTGCCCAGGCTGGAGTGCAGTGCTGCAATCATGGCTCACTGCAGCCTCAACCTCCCAGGCTCAAGTGATTCTCCCGCCTCAGCCTCCCAAGTGGCTGGGACTACAGGCACCCACCACCATGCCTGGCTGATTCTTAGGAGAATTTTTAGAGATAGGGTCATGCTTTGTGGCTCAGGCTGGTCTTGAACTCTTAGGTTCAAGTGATCCTCTTGTCTCAGCCTCCCAAAGCCCTGGGATTACAGGTATATACCACCACTCCTGGTCTGCTTCTAGAACTTCTATCACAAGTCAGGAGATGGCGTTGCCCCACTGTGAGTCCCTGGTCTGCCTTAAGGGAGCTGGAACAACCCAAGAGCAGACACCCAGGAGAAACGGGGACTGGGCACATGGCTCGACGAGGGGCCTGAGAGTCAGGACTGGGCACCGTGCCATGCACAGCTATCCAGAGACCAGCAGGGCTGAGGTTCAGATGCCTCCCGTTGGTTCAGGCAGAACGCCTCCAGGTGGGTAGAAATAGATGTAGAGTATTTAATGATAGCACTTGTTCCTAGAGGGCTGGGAAGAGGGGAAAGGATGGCAGTCCCCAAACAGCTGAGAGCCAATGGGAATCCCAGAACGTGACAACGGCCCTCCCCAGGGGCCTCGCTAGGGCGATGGCGGCCCATGGGATCCTGCAGCCTCACCTGACTGCCTCCATCTTGCAGGGCTGCAGGGATGCCAATGTGACCGAAGAAGGGGCTGAGGATCTGAGAGGCTCAAGGACTCAGGTGCCACGGGCTGCGGCCAGCCTGCCTGGGGTGCTGCGGGAATGGAGCAGACACCCGACAGGACGGCCCCTTGAGTGTGAACCTCAGGCGAGCGGCAAGGACGAGCTGACGTCCCCTGCGGTTGCCTCCAGGCAGACCTGCCACTCTCACGCCCTCAGCCCTTCCCAGGTCACTGTTCTCGGTGGCTCTGCCACTGCATCACTTTTCTCACACAGGGCACTGCGAAGGACGTTCCACAGGTGACCTGGTGACCCTCAACATTTCAGGGACTTGGAAGCCAGTGCCCAGAGGGCATGAACCCAGATGCCCAAGCGTCGATTCCCAGCATGGTACTCAGACCCCAGGAGGCGGCCAGGAAACTCTGGTCTGTCACTTACTCACTGGGACGAGGCTGAGATGGGACTGGAAAAACACCAACCTCCAGAGGAGGGGGAAGGGCAGCGCTGGCAAGCAGCATCACACAGGCCCAAACACCAGTGTTTTCGGCTTTGAGAAACTTTACCGCGCTGTGCATCAAAAGCATCACAGATGATGTGCAAATGCATGCACATGGGTGTGTGTGTTAATAAAACTTTATTGACGGCTGGGCGCGGTGGCTCATGCCTGTAATCCCAGCACTTCGGGAGGCCGAGGCGGGCGAATCACAAGGTCAAGAGATCAAGACCATCCTGGCCAACAGGGTGAAACCCCGTCTCTACTAAAAATACAAAAATTAGCTGGGCGTGTTGGTGTGCATCTATAGTCCCAGGAAGGAGAATCACTTGAACCCGGGAGGCAGAGGTTGCAGTGAGCCAAGATCGCACCGCTGCACTCCAGCGTGGGCGACAGTGTGAGACTCCATCTCATAAAATAAAATAAAATAAATAAATAAAACTTCACTGACAAACACAGGCCAGGGCCAGATCTGACCCACGGGCAGCATTATGGAGACTCCTGGTCTAGACTCTAGAGGACGAAGTAGCCCCTGGGAGTCTCTACAGGCATAATGAAGGGCCAGGCGGAAGCTCTAGGGGGTTGGGGGGCCAGAGGCAGGCTCCTCCCCACCAAGGGGACATAGACCTTGTCTCCTGCTGGGGAGAGACAGGCCCAGGGACATGTGCTGGACGCAGGCTGCCCGACCTCTGCCAGCCCTCACCTCAGCCTCGGAACTCCACGTGGAACTTTCTGCCTCTCCATCAATCAGGCACGGGAGAAGTCCGTTTCCAAACATCATAAGACACTGTTTCAAGTACCTGTCTTGCTGCCACCACCCGTGCTCAAAGGGACGAAGGACACGGGAAGGGAAAGATGTCATTCAACTCGAATACTCCCTTGCCTTGACAAACCTTTCCAGGTGGCCCGCACTTTGCTGGAGACACTGACATATTTACGACCCCGAATCTGAGGCTGTGGGGTGGGGGGCGGGTGGAAACCTTCACATGGCATTTCCCGCAGCTTCTGCCTCCCCATCTTCCCCGGTCCCAGGGGCAGCCATGGAACCTTCTGCTAGATCCGGGAGCAGGGACTTGGGAACAGTTAGAGCCCGACCATGCCGAGCAGGAGGGAATATTTACGGCCAAGCGATTCCCAGCAAACTCAATTCATTTAATGAAAGATTGTGCAAGAGAGAAAGGCTGGCGGTGTCATTTGGCCGCAGAGTGGCGGGAGCACAGATGGTGCCCGCGTTTCAGACTCCTGGTGGGGCCAGCCGCCCCGGCATCCCCATTGACAGCAGCTGAGGGGATTTGTATTGAGCAGCTTTGCAACTGCGCCTCCTTAAGTAATTAACAAAAGCACCTGTGTGCACCCATGGAGGGGACAGGCAGACATGCTCCACGGAGCGCATCGCCACAGCTTGGAGTCCGGCCTGAGCCCCCTCGCCCAGCCAGGGCTGGCCCAGCTCCGGACCTTTCCCCTGCCCTGCTGGCTGAGGCCGCTGCCAGGACAAAGCTGCTGGTGCCAGCCTGCCCACAGCTGGACTGGAAGGAGGGGGCAGCTGGGAACATTACTGTGAGTCTCCAAGTGGCTCTGCAGGGAGCTGGGGAGCCAGGGCACCCAAAAAGGAAACGGGAAAAGAGGCAAGGCCGGAGGGTCACGGAGAGGGAAGCACAGCCTCAAGGAATCGAGGACATGGGGTGGTCACTTCTGAGTGTTGGGCAGCTCGGCAGGGCCACAGTGCAGGAAAGGAGCTCGCTAGGGCTGTGAGGAGACCCAGCTCCCCTGAGCTACAGCTTCCTGCTGAGTGCCCAGCCCGGCGCGCCTGCGGGAGCCACGTCCCCCCGACAAGGGCGAGCCAGGCACGTCAGGACTTGGTGGGCTGTTGCGCTGCGGCTGGGAAGGGCTCGGCGCAGGCGGGAGGGAGCCTCGCCGCGGAGTCCTCAGACAGGGTAGACCTCGCTGTCTGCTTTCATTCTTTTCATTAGTGAGGCCCCGACTGTCCTCGCCACAGCCCCGCCCAGCTCCCCACTCTCTGGGACACGCGTGTCTGCAAAGGAGGGGACGGATCCTGCCTGCTCCAATTCCTGCTTCCCGACTTGGCAGTCTCCTGTCAACACTCACGACAGAGATGGAAGGCGACCCCCAGGGGAATCTGGGCGTGTCATTAGTTTCTGATGGAGAAATCAGGCACAAACAGGGCAAGAGGAGGCCTGCACGGCCCCGCAAGGCCCGAGCACGCCCCAGGGCCCCGTGTTCCACGGTGTGGAACTGCACGATACACACAGCCACCAGAACCGCATGCATGGGCAGGGCCGCCCCGAGAGCCACCGGAGAAGCTAGGCGAGTCTGACCAAGACAAGGTGGCGATGCCCCTCAGTGCTGAGCAGATTCTGAGGACAGGGAGAGGTGCAAGGCCAGGAGGTGGCAACTTAGGTAGGGAACGCAGAGCATGAAGCCCTCACTGCCAGCCAAACACGCCATGTTACCTGCGGGTCACGGCCCCAAGTTACCCTGCCTTGGGATCAGCCTCTCGTCTATGGCTCGGGCCTGCCAACTGCAGCCCTCGGCCCCCATCACTCTCCCCAGCCCCAAGATCCTGGTCTCACTGCTCTGGCCTGGGCTGGAACCCATGAGCTGCTTCTTATTCCCAGGTGAGGCCAGCAGAGCGGAGCCTCAAAGCCAAGGCCAACCCTGTAGGTGCCCCAGATGCCAAGCAGAACCGGGTTCTTGGACAGCGCTCCTGTCAGGGGGCAGCCTGACCACCTGCCAAGTGCACTCGGGGGCTGGACAGCGCCGCTCGCAGGCAAATCAGCGAAGCTTCCCAGCGCTCCCACGCGCATGAGACATGCGATGCCCTAACCACCGACAGCAGAGGAAGAGGTGGCTGCTGGGTCCTGCAGAATCCCCCAGAGGAGGAGGGTGGGTCCACATCACAACCCCCACTTGGCCCCCAGCGAGCTCGGAGCAGACACCGGCAGCCTCAGGAGGACACAGGCAGCCTCAGGGGGACACAGGGAGGAGCCAAGCCTCAGACAACAGGCGGAACTTTGCATACTCCAGGCAAGCTCAACCCCCTGCCAGCGATCTCGCCCAAGGAAGGAAGGAATTCAAAGACGTCCTTTGCTTTTATATTGAAAGACAAGCATGCTTGCACACGCACGAACACGCACACACACACACGATTCTAACCAAACGATTCAACCATTGTGCACAGACTAAATAAATGATAGATTCGTATAACAGGGCGGCGTGCACTGGGAAGACACAGTCTACAGGCCCCTTTCAATGACAGAAACATCTTTGGGACTGTCTGTTATCTAAAGACATACAAAATGCATGCTGAATACAGCAAGACCCCGCTTATGGGTAAGAGTCTTTAAAGACAGGGAAATGCACCCACACACTAACTGTGGTTCTTTCAATGGTGGGATTAAGCACTTCCGTACTACTTATTTCTCTAAATCTCTTTATTGAGAAGGCATATCATCTAAGGTGGGCCCATGGGCCACATCTGGCCAGCCACTTGTTTTTGTGAATAAAGTTTTATTGGCACACAGCCACGCCCGTTCATTTATATATCATCCACAGCTGAGCCCGTGCTGCAAGGGCAGGGCTGAACATTCAGGAAGGGAAATGCAAAGCTGCAAA